AGCTACGACTGAGCGAGCCTTGACATGCCTCTCAAATTTCAATCCTACAAGAGGATAGCAAGGAGATGAAAACTGGGAACCCAAGAGATTTTAAAGGGGTGAAAAAAGAAAGTAAGAACTTCTGTAAGCAACTATTGAAAGAATTTCTGGCATCTTTAATATGAAGTTTCCTAATTTTATAACATAAACCCCCTCTATTTTAAGAAACAGATCTGGGCTGTATGTACCAAGTTTGGTATACTCCTGGCGAAACAAATCAGGAAACTCAACTAGTCTCATAAATTAGAGAAATACATGAAAATTTAGTCCACAAAGATACAGTATGTTAGAAAAATGTCAAGAGTAGTAAGAATTATAAAACACAGGTTGTCAGAACGACTTAACACTGATTTGACAACCTATTTATTTCTGTAATTATACATATATGTTTGTTATCAAGAAACTACACCAGTAGTAGCAAAAGGCACCTTTCATATCTTCAGATTATTTAATATATTGTGAAACTGGTATTCCTTTATCCAGTTTTCTCAAAAGATGCCAAATTACTATTTCTAATGGAGGAGGAGTAGAGACTTATTATTCACAGAAGAGTGGAAGACATGTTGTTCAAAAAACGGCTGAAATTCATAACATGAACTTCTTTCCAGACTGCAGCACTTCCTACAAAGTGGTAGAGTGCAGCTCTCTGTTTGCTGCAGAGAAAACTGAGATTGAAAACATATCATCATTGATGATGACTTACTTCAGGCTGACTGATCAAATGATTTTTTTCAGTCTTCCTGTGACACAACATCAATTTAATCCTATGGATTTATACCTAAGCAAAACATATTGCTGAACAGCAATTAAAAAAAAAAGCTAATTTATTTTTTAAAAAAAGAATACTAAGAAAGTTGCATTATAGAGCTAAATAAAATTTTACATTAAAAGGGAATTTAAAAACCCCCTGCATAATGTATTATGAAAAAAATTTGATCTGTTCTTTACTAGGCTGTATAACCAAGTATACTATACGTACAGCTTCTCTCACCAGGAAAGAGGGAGTTAAAATGCCTTTCCTTTTCTTTCCTTCCCTCTGCAATGAACACCTGCTCAAAAGGAAGAGCTATTAAAAGAGTAACAGGAAGGGCAGTGCATTTGGAGGAAGTCACAGATCCTTAGGTGGACACAGAGGCTTGGGCTGATTTCCAGGAGAGAGAGATTCAGGTTTGAAAACTGCACTGTTTTCATCAATGTTTATGGTCAGATCAAATTACTGAACGGACTTCACTATTTACTGTTCTGTCACTCCTGTTGTTAGTAATCCTTCCAGCTCAGGGCGTATTTTGCAAGGGTCAATGCAAATGGTAAGAGATCAAACTACTGAGGTGTAGCAGCAACATGTGAAGTGTCAACAAACGTTTCACTCTGAGCTCACTGCAAATTCAAATCAGTAAGTTCTGAACAGCAAGGGCACAATTTGAATTCTTAAGATTCCATCAACTTAATACTAAGCCTCCTTGGAAGTGGTGGCGCTCTCACTGTTTGAAAAGATTACAGTCTTTAGGGACAAGAAATCAGAGTCTGAGCTCCTAATTTCTAAGTTAGTAAAATTTTAAAAGAAGTTTAGCACTATATAACAATCCGGAAGATTTAGTACAATCTGTTTCAGCACTATGTGCCTTAGTACTAAAAACAGAAAGGAAAATGACAGACCACACTGACTTTATCTGACTGGTGAGAAGAAAGTGATTTTTTTACCCTTACTGCTGTTGTCATAGTGACAAACAGCTATACATACTACAGATCTCTGAGAAGAACAGGAAAGCATGCAAAATCCTCACAGCAAAGTTATTAAAAGCTGCTTTTTTGGAACCAAAGCTTGCTGAAAACCAAAAATAAAACAAAAAAAATTAAAAAACCAGGGCAAACATTTCTACTGTTTCCTCAAAATTCTCATTTACAGTTGTGGGTCTAAAGCAAGAAACTAATTTTAGGCAGTCAGAGAGCAGTGTCACCCTGCAAATATGCACCAGCAATTTTGTGGTCTGACAGTTTATCACCAGCTAGCCAGTGCTTTACACCTTTGAAAGTTAAAAATGAAAAACTTTCTACTCACCAACAAACAATTTAGTAATTTCTGCTCTTTTTGAGTCCAAATATACTGTGCTGATTGCATACATAACAGAGTGTTTTAAACAACACATGATTTTAAAAACAGTAAGACTTACCAATCCACTTAAGGCTAAAATCCAGATGTAGGAACCAGAGGTTAAGAGCTAGAAGACAAGAGCAGGGATTAAAATTCTTATTTTACAAAGTTGTTGCTGTCTGAACTACTAAGCCGCAATAGTATATAGGTTATGCACTCATCATCACAATGGGAGGCGTCAGACATGTGAAAATTCAGTTTAACATTAAAAGAGAGGTGTGTTCCAGAAGTACCAAAGTGGAAAAAACACAGGGATCCAACAATTGTTCTCCTTGTACAGAACAATACATTTTATTTTCATATAGCTTACTAAGTATAACAGGATGTCAGTTATAGGCTGCACAGAAAAACAAGTCTGAAAGATAGACTGAAGTAAAGGAAATGACTCAGCAGTAACAGGAGAAGAGTTCCAAGCAGGCCTGGCACTGCAAGTGAAACTCTCAGACATGCAGTCACAGACAAAGCAACAGCATCAAAATTAAAGAAATAAAGTTCTCACCCAGAGACATACTTGCTGACATGAAATCACAGAAATACGTCAGAGTGAATTTTAAAAAAAATCCCAGTAAGCCAACAGGGCAGCCCATGGTTTCTAGCAAAGTATGTGATTCACCACCTGGAGAAGGTTATTGTCAACTGGAAAAACGGGCTGAAAATTAGACTGGTACTGGTTACTAAAATAGTTCTGTGTGATGCTGACTGAATCACGAGAACACCT